CCACTCAATCGGTCATTCACTCGCCCATGCACCCACTTACTCGCTCAACCACCCATCCGCTCACTCACCCACTCACTCATTCACTCACCCACTCAATCACTCACTCACCCACTTTCTCTTATATCGCTACTACCATGCTGACTGTTACCATGAACTCCACTCATGGATTGCTCCTCCCGTGTTTAGATTTCTCAACCGTACAGTGTCCAACCACCGTAACAACACACGCACTCGCTCATTGATTCACCCACTAACTCACTCACTCAGACATTCACTCACCCACTCAGACACTGACTCAGCCACTCACTCACCCGCTCACCCACTCACTCACCCACTCAGATACTCACCCATTGATTCACCCACTCACCCACCCACTCAGCCACGCACTAATTGATTCAACCACTCACTCACCCACTCAGCCACTCACTCACGGATTCACCCACTCGCTCTCGCACTCAGCCACTCGCTCATTGATTCACCCACCCACTCACTCAAGCACTCACCCACTCAGCCACTCAATCACCCGCTCACCCACTCACTTACCCACTCAGCCACTCACTCATTGATTCACCCACTCACTCACCCAGGACACGCTTGCCAATGAGACTCATCCTGGTTTCTTGAGTTCTCAGCTGGTTACACAAACAAACGTAACTTTACTCACCCACTCACTCACTCACACACTCATCCACTCACACTCACCCACACATTCACCCACTCACTCATCCACCCACTGACCCACCCTCTCACCACCACCACCACCGCAGGTCACAACGGTTCTCTTTCTGATTCTTCACTCGCACGGCTCCACTTTGGAATTCCCACCTCCCAACGTCTGTTTTTCCCAAGCTGATATATAATAACACTGGTCTACAGCCAAAATGCTTCGGAAATAAATGTAGTTCAACTTTATTAATTCTGAGTCACTAAGAATGAAAATGATGCTTAAAATTGTTGATTGCCTCTAGTTTTAAAGATATGCGACTGGGTCAGTATATACGACCCTTGACTTGGGAATGGCGGAGGATAAGTGAGTTATAAAGGGAAGGGATTTCAATTTGAACCAGAAATGACTAAAATACATCTTTGACTGGATCTATGAATAAATCTATGACTGGGTTTGGACAGTACTTGCTTTTTGAGCAAAACGATGAATGATGCAATCTGAACCTGGTATTGCATCATACATGATATGAATTGCATCATGTTATTCCTAGAAGTCATGGGTGATGCAATCATAACTAACCTTACATCCCTCTGCTGAACACATTGCCCTATATCAGCTCTAGAAATCATACAGTGTCGTACTCTCTTATTTGTCATTGTTTAATTTTGCAAAGGGACACATTTCTAACTTGATCTGAAGCTTTCGTGACTGCAGGAATTACTCTCTATTTAAGGCCTCGACACAGAGCCATTGGGTCTCTGTGTGTCTATGTTGTGTGTCTCTCTGTGTGTTTCTGTGTTCTCTCTCTCTCTGCTTGTGTGTCTGTCTGTGTGTCTCCGTGTCTGTGTTCTGTCTCTCTCTTAAATTTAGTTTTGTCTGATGACGGTTGCTTCTGTCGCAATCGAAACGTCGTATTCTATTATTAAATTTATTTTCTTTCTACGTGACTTTACCGAAAGAACCAAAGAGGACACATTTCTGTTGAGCCAAAGTGAGCAGAGATGCTTCGTACTTGTGTGAACAAAGCAGACAACTTCTGCTATGTTTGTGAAGTGACTTTTGCATCACAAAATAGTCGCCAGTGGTTGAACAGGAAAAGGAAATCTATGCCTTTTGCAGTGCCAATGATTTGGAGAGAGCCAACAGATGATATCAGCAATTGTTGCTTCTGCATGGCGCCTCCAGCTGAGAAAGGTGTGTCAAAGAAGAAAAAGTGGACTGTGCATGATCCCAACATTCGATCAGCTGTACGCCCTGTACCCCACGGAGAAGGACTGCCGGTTTCTGATGCACCAGAATCATTCTCACTTGAGTCAGACGAGGAAGAGGATGAAACTTCTGGTCCTGAACCATCAAGGTCACATGACCCAGATTTTCTCCCATACTTCTCATCTGAACCACACCTCATAACACAAGGTGAACTGAAAGACCGTGTCAGGGATTTGGAACTACCCAAGAGTAAGGCAGAGCTGTTGGGCTCCAGACTGCAGCAGTGGAATCTCCTGGCAGGTGATGTTAGGGTTTCCATGTTCTGTGACCGTCAAAAGGATCTTGTCCCATTCTTTTTCAAGGAAGGTGATCTTATAGCCTGCAACAACATCGATGGTGTGATAGGAGCCCTCAACATCGTTAATGATCCAGATGAGTGGAGACTGTTCATTGATTAATCGTCTTAAAGTTGTTTTTCTGCATAATGGCAATGTTTTTTCCATCAATTCCAGTTGGTCATGCAGTCCATATGAAGGAAACCTATGACAACATGAAACCACTTTTGAGGTGCATAAACTATGACGAACATCAGTGGCAGCTTTGTGGCGATTGAAGGTTGTTGCTCTCTTGCTTGGTCTGCAGACTGGATACATGAAGTACTGCTGCTGTTTTCTCTGAGAATGGGATAGTCGTGCGAGAGATTCCCACTACATCAAGATAGATTGGCCACTCCGACAGTGGTTGGAGCCTGGGAGGAAAAGTGTTCAGCATCAACCACTTGTTGAATCAAGGAAGATTGTGTTACCACCCTTACACATCAAGCTGGGTCTGATGAAGAACTTTGTCAAAGCCACGGACAAAACACCAGCGGCTTTCAAGTACCTCCGTGGAAAATTTTCCAAGGTTAAGTGAAGCTAAGATAAAGGAAGGTGTTCTTTGTTGGTCCTCAGATTTTTTGAACTTCTTCGAGATGATGCATTTGACAGTGCACTGCGTGGTAAGGAAAAGACGGCATGGAAAGCCTTTCAATTAGCGGCAACACATTTTCTCGGAAACAACAACGCAGACAACTACAGGGAGTTGGTGGAAAACCTCCTCAAGGTATACAAAAGCCTTGGTTGCAGCATGTCACTAAAGATATATTTTTTGCACTCTCATCGAGATTTTTTTCCACCGAACTGCGGAGCAGCGAGCGACGAGCATGGTGAGCGATGTCACGAGGACATTGCGACAATGGAGGAAGGCTCTCAGGGCAATTGGAGCCCATCAATGCATGCAGACTATTGCTGGACAGTGACAGGAGAGAAGCTCCATTTAATGAATACAAGAGACAAGCCAAGACGCGCCGAGTAGACGCTGAATAAGGACTAAACTTTGATTTAAAGCTTTCTTGACTGCAGTAATTCATATTCTTAGCTCTTTCCGTAAAGTCACGTTGAAGGGAAACAATAAAATAGTAAAATATATATAAAACAATACAAATTCTCACGACGTTTCGACCATAACACAAACGGTTCGTCATCAGGTGTGAAAAACCAACGGCAAGAAACATTTGAAAGAAGTGTCGGTTCGCATTTATTTATTTTTAAGCGGTGTTTTTATTTATTTATAGAAAAAAACGTCAGCGCCACGCGCAGCGATTTGGCAGTTTATTTAGAAGGACGAGTCCATCTATGTTCTGAAAAGAGGAGGGGGGAGACGAAAAATTAATGTATGTTGTCTGAAAGCCACCGTAAGAGTGAACAATCAATTAAGACCTGAAATGGTTTATCAAATCCTTCCAATGATTGCTAAGCCAGAATCCATCTTCTCGGTTGAAATTGTCTCTGTGCTTGTATATGTGGATAGCCCCATGAACGAATCTCTCATGGTAGCCAGATGGCTTACAAAGAACCTCTGTCTTGGAGAAGTCAATGTCATGTGAGCCTACTGAATTATAACAATGATCTGCCACGGTCGAGGTGTTGGTCCTACCGTGTTTAAGATCTGCTATGTGTTCACGAATGCGGTCCGAGACATGGCGTTTGGTTTCTCCAATGTAACTACTACCACAGAGGCAACTCCCCCCTCCTCTTTTCAGAACATAGATGGACTCGTCCTTCTAAATAAACTACCAAATCGCTGCGCGTGGCGCTGACGTTTTTTTAGAAATAAATACACCGCTTAAAAATAAATTTATTAATGCAAACCGACACACCTGATGACGACCGTTTGTGTTATGGTCGAAACGCCGTGAGAATTTTTATTGTTTTATATATATTTTATTATTTTATTGTTTCCCTTCAATGTAACTTTACCGAAAGAGCTAAGTATATAAGGACTAAACTATTTACTTATATATACATAATCGTTTTTTGCCTTTTGTTTCATAATAAATTCTATGTATACAACCATTTAGCTGTTTTTTAAAGTGTTACATGAACAAAACAGATGACATGTTATCAAGTAAAACAACCATAAACACATGAAAAGACCGAGGTTTACAATTTACGAGTACTATCTACACAATATTCATAGACGTAAAATGTAAAAACTAAAAATCTTTTGGGAACAGTAGCCAATCAGTTGTTTTAATTGTCATTTAAATTCAGCACGTAAAAATACATAATAAACAGCACATTTCATATCTTAAGCAGACGACGTCTAAAAACTTGTAGACCAGTGTAATTAATGCTGTTTGTTGCTGACCGCTCACCATTTCTCACCATCCTCACCACTAATCACCATTCCTCACCACCCCTCACCACCCTACCCCTTCACCACCCCCTCACCACCCCACCCCCTCACCACCCACCCCTCACCACCCCACCCTCACCACCCTCACCACCACCACCTTTCCCCTTCTTCGCCCATCACCGCTCCCAGGGTCTCGCGGCGGACGGACGGCTGCGCAGCTGCAGCTACATCAGCAGCAGCTTCATCAGCAGCTACATCAGCAGCAGCAGCTTCATCAGCAGCTACATCATCAGCAGCAGCAGCAGCAGCTTCATCAGCAGCTTCATCAGCAGCTACATCATCAGCAGCAGCAGCAGCTTCATCAGCAGCTTCATCAGCAGCTACATCAGCTGCAGCTTCATCAGCAGAAGCTACATCAGCAGCAGCTTCCTCAGCAGAAGCTACATCAGCAGCTGCAGCAGCGACAGCTGGCGTGGAACAACAACAGCAGCAGGAGCAGCAGCATTAGCAACAGCAGCAGCAGGAGGAGGAGGAACAGCAAGACCAACAGGTGTAGCAGCAGCAGTGTGACCATCGTGAGAAGCCACATCAGCCACATGAGCAGTGGCTGGAGGAAGAGCAGCAGCAGCAGCAATAGCAAGCGCGTGATCAACAGCTGCTACATCAGCAGCAGCAGATTCGGAAACAACATCGTCAATAGCAGCAGGCGCATACAAGCAACCCGAGCAATAGCATAATTAGCATCATCATCAGTATTAACATCATTATAATCAGCAGCAGCAACAACACTATCATCAGCAGCTACAGCCGGTAGGCGCACGTAACCAACACCTGCAATAGCATCATCATTGGCATAATTGCCATCATAACCAATATCATCATCAGCGCCAGCAGTATCATAATCAACAGCAGCAACAACAGTATCATCATCAGCAGGAGGCAGGCAGGCAGGCACAGCTAACCAACTCCAGCAGCAGCAGCATCATCATCATCATAAGCAGGATGCTGCAGGGCGAGGCGCCGTGCCCCGGTGCCCCGGCCACGCTGGACATCGTCTCGGCCTCCCCGTGCCTCGCCAAGGTGGAGCTGCGCGTGTCTCTGCGTGGCCTGCACGACCGCGACGCCCTCTCCCGCACCAACCCCTGCGTGGCGCTGCTCATGCAGTCGTGCGCCCAATGGATGGAGGTGCGCCCAGCCCTGACCCCGGGCCCTGACCCCGGGCCTGACCCCAGCCCTGACCCCGGGCCTGAACCCAGCCCTGACCCTGGGCCCTGACCCCAGGCCTGACCCCAGCCCTGACCCTGGGCCTGAACCCAGCCCTGACCCTGGGCCCTGACCCCGGCCCTGACCCCGGGCCTGACCACAGCTCTATCGCTAACTGGGGGATGGGGGAGGGTTACCACCGCATGACCCTCTCCCCTAAAAGACGAAGACAAAGATCCCCCCGCGTCGCCTCTCAGTCTGTCGGGGCAAGTTCGGTTAGCGAGCAGCACTTCTGAAGGCGCCGTCACGGCACGCGAGAGGGCGACGTGACAAACACCGCGCCCGCCCGTCCGCCTTTGTCTCCCCACCACCGTGCTGATGTTTCGCACCGGGTACTCATTTTAAGGCTGAGTCGACCTAGAGCAGGACAAGTACCGGCCTCAGATATTTGTCACCGATGTTGGCCGCGAACGGGAATCGAACTCCGGGGCGCGCTAACCGTTGTGCCACCACTCCCCGCTATTTGCATGCTCTCCGTCCGTGGTCGCGTGGATTTTTCTTGCGCGCCCTGCGGCTTTTTCTCCCCTCCACATTGAGAATGAACGTCTCGCCTTCGGGGTATTTTACTGCGCCTTTTGGCGTCATCTGTGAGACTAGGCTCTAGGGAAAGCTGTCTCGGGTGTGGACCAATCAATTTCAAGGACAGTGCATTCATTATCAGAGTTATAATTTTTTGTTTGCATTCCGACCGCAGGTATTGTGGTCAATGCAAACATGACTCCTAGTAAAAAAAGGTGTCAGTTTTGTTGCCAGATAAAAGGGTAAAAAAAAACAACTATGATATTTTGCTACTGGCAAAGGAGGTTCCAATGGTGATGACGATGTTGTTGATAAGCCGCCGTCGCGTCGAGCTGCTATCGTTCGTGATGGCCAAGTTCGCGTCTGGAAAAGAGCTGCGTAGCTCAGCGAGGGCCTCGCACCTGGTGACATAATAGTTGAGTTTAATTCGCACTGCCCACCACTCCCCACCACCACCAGCCCGCCCACATTGACACATTCCAAAATCAAAGCCTCGTTGACGACCCCACCATCGCTATCTACGCGGCGTTGGTCTGCCATGGAAACGACGCTGCTCCACCAGGCGTTTCAGAACGGCAACAAAGTCGCTTGGGCACACCTCCTGCACGAGTGTAGAATTACTGACAAGCCACGGTGGGACTGCGGCCACCCGAGCCAGGCGATGGGCCACGCCGCGAACCACTGCACCCTGCGCGCGCTCTCCGGAGTACAGTGCAGTATTAGTCGCGCCGACTTCAACTTGGACGTGTGATTTGCACAGGCTTGCCATAGGCTAGAGAGAGAGAGAGAGATTTAAACCCCCTCCCCCCATCGCCTCCCCCCCGGCGCAGGTGGAGCGCACGGAGGTGATGAAGAGCACCTTGAGTCCCGTCTTCTCCAAGGTCTTCACAGTTGACTACTACTTCGAGGAGGTGCAGAAGCTGCGCTTCGAGGTCTACGACGTGAACGGCGGCTCGAGGCTCGGCTCCCGCGAGGAGGACTTCCTGGGCGCCACGGAGTGCACCCTGGGGCAGGTGGGGAGCGGGGATTGGATGGGGGGGTGGGGGGGGGGGTAACGTGGGGGTAGGTAGGCGGGTAGGTTGGTAGGCAGGTAGGTGGGTGGGTGTCAAGGTGGGTATGTGGGTAGGTGGACCACTCATGTTTCTCGGCCATTGCCAGGTGTGATGTCAACACCGTGCAGGCCTCCTCCTGCGGTAATGTCAGCCCAGCGACAGGACCGGCACGAGACCTCGGGGTCAGCATCGGCCCCTGCTGCCACCCGAGCCACGGACAGCAGTCCCCGGGACTCCACCGGGCAAACCAGGACAGTTGGCAACCCGATGAGCGGGTGACGAGGTGAAGGGGTCGAGGAGGTGACGGGGTGATGAGGTGAAGGGGTCGAGGAGGTGAGGGGTGATGAGGTGAAGGGGTCGAGGAGGTGACGGGGTCACGAAGTTCACGCTGGGTTCCCAGCGGCGCCGCTGTCGAGAGCGCAGGCGGTGCAGCTGCACCGGGGCACGCAGGTCGTAGGGGCCCATGCGCCGAGCTACCAGGAGGATAGAAATTTGAACAGAGTGGTGGTGGGGGGCGGTGCGGGGAGAGGGGGAGCAGGGGGAAGAGGGGGAGGGGGCGGCCCACGTGCTACCCACGGCACGCAGCTGCTAGGACACGTGTCGACAGTGCTGCCCCGGGGCTTTGTCGGAGCAATGCACGCTGGGAACAGGAGTAGAGGGGGCAGCCAACCGTGCAGTGCATGTTGGGACAGGGGTCAAACTCCCCCATTCCCCCCCCCCCTCCCTTTCTCGCTAACCACGTGCTGGTGATTATCCTCAGAGCACGACTCGTCCTCGGGGCTGATTTAGCAATGAGGCGAGAGCGCGGATACCCATGGGGGAGAGGAGAGGAGCGCGGAGGAGTAGGAAGAAGAAATTGACGTGGAAAGATGTGGTGCAGCAGGAGGAGGAAGGGGTTATGGTGGTGGAGGTACACAGACAAGAGGGGCGATGATTCTGGGACAGGGGAGTAGGTGGTGGAGGAGGAGGTGGAGCAGGAGGAGTAGGTGGTGGAGGAGGAGGAGCAGCAGGAGGAGTAGGTGGTGGAGGAGGAGGAGCAGCAGGAGGAGTAGGTGGTGGAGGAGGTGGAGGAGCAGGAGGAGGAGCAGGAGGAGGTGAAGGAGGAGGTGGTAGAGCAGGAGTAGGTGGAGGAGGAGGAGCAGCAGGAGGAATAGGTGGTGGAGCAGGAGGAGGAGGTGGAGCAAGAGGAGTAGGTGGTGGAGGAGGAGGTGGAGCAAGAGGAGTAGTTGGTGGAGGAGGAGGTGGAGCAAGAGGAGTAGGTGGTGGAGCAGGAGGAGGAGGTGGAGCAGGAAGAGGGTAAGGGACTGCACCGTACGTAGCCAACCGTGCTAATCGAAGGTGCGAGCCAGAGGAGCTGCAGTCCAGAGCTGTGCTCGTCTCGAATCGTTCTTGTTGGAATAATGCGCTCCCAGAAGGCCGTTTTGGCCGGCTGATGGAATGTGTAAAATATATATAAATAGATGTAAATTTACGTCGAGAGGCAGATATGGTAATATCGTACATTCGCAGTTCATATATAAAAGACTCGTTCATTGGCTGAAAACATCCAACGATATGTAGCGCCGGATGGTCGCCGGGCTGCTGAAGGACGACCACGCTGTCCATGGCGGTACAAAGACAAGAGGGGCGATGATGCTTCTGCCGCTGCGTTGACACAAACAACAGCAAATTCAACACATGTGGCGACGTTTCGGGCAGTGCCCCTTCTCCACTGTGAAGAAGGGCCATTGCCTCTAAACGTCGGTCTGTTGTTGTTGTTGTTGTCGAATGTGTTGATTGCGACATTAACAACGAGCCGTTCTAGTTAATCACTTTCGTCTCACCCTGTCTGAACGCTCAGATCGTGTCGCAGAGAAGGATCACGAAGGGACTGACGCAGAAGCACGGCAAGCCCGCGGGAAAATCCGCGATCACGGTACGGGCACACGGACACACGGACACACGGACACACGGACACACGCACACACGCACACACGCACACACGCACACACGCACACACGCACCAAGATCCCCCATATAGCCTTATCAGACTGCTAGGGACAAGTGCTGTTAGCGAGCACCTATGAAGGCCGGAACGGTACACGAGGGGGTGGGTGGCCAGCACCACGCCCGACCGCCTTTGTCTCCCTAGAGGCAATGTTTACACACCGCACCAGGTACTCATTTGAGGCTGAGTCGACCTAGGGGAGGCCCAGGACCGGTTCAGATAATCGTCACTGGTGTTGACCGTGAGCGGGAATCGAACCCGGGTCGCCAGGTTCATAGCGCAGCGCGCTAACCGCTACACTATCGCTCCCCACAACACACGCACACACACGCGCACACACACGCGCACACACACACGCACACACACGCGCACACGCGCGCGCAGAACAACAACAACCGCCATTCGCCACTAAGTGGCGGTGACGTCACCACGACGCTTGTGCCAGGCCATGTGCACCTTGAGGCCGCGTAAAGTGTCGAACGCCCGCTGGCAGGAGGTCACGGGGCAGACCCAAATGCCACGGGTCGACTGACTAAGATGACTGAGATGACTGGCTGATGCACCTCCTGTGCCACCTACTGTGCCAACCTGCTGAGCGTCACTTCTCCGCCCTCCGTTGTTGTTGGTCGGGCGACTACCTCCAACTGCCTAGTAGCATCCTTCACGAGCCTCCTCCACAGAGGCCGATCTTGACACCGCTGGTACCAGTCATCGGCAAGTCCACTCAGCTCCACGTCATCCTGTACCACATCACTATATCTCTTCCCTAGCCCGTGCCGCGCCCGTTTAGCCCCCTCGATCCGGCCGAAAAAAAGTTGTTTCGGCATGCGGTGGCTGGGCATGCGGGCTACATGACCCAGCCAACGCAGCCTTGCCTGCCGGAGGAGCTCACCGATGGGACCTTGCCCAGATCTTTCAAGGATTTGTGAGCTCCTCACACAATCCAGCCTGGTTAAACCCAGGGTGGATCGTAGGCAGGTTAGCCTAAATGTTTCTAACCGGCGAAGATGTTCCATTAGGGGGGTCCACGTTTCGCAAGCGTAGAGAAGGGAGGGAATGACCGTGGCTGAGAAGACCTGAAGCTTAGTGCGGAGCGACAGACCAGGTAGCTTCCACACAGCGTTACGCAACCGATGAAAAGATATTGCCGCTCGACTGATTCGGAGTGAGACCTCTGCTGTTAAACTGGAGGTGGTCATAAGCACACTGCCCATCACCGATTGGGAGTTGTGGGGGTGGAGTGTCCGATGGTACAAAATACCCAGGCAGGTGCTTAGTTTTGGTGAGGCTGATGGTAAGGCCCCATCGCTTAGTGGCACGCTCCAGTCTCAGCAGCAGCGTCTCCAACTCCTCCTCTGAATGAGCAGCTATTACCAAATCATCGGCATACATAACGTGGTTGAGCAATAGGGAGCCATCCCTTGACCGCTCCCGGGCATCGATCAGCCTCCCATTATATCTGTACCAAATGGAGATTCCCCCGGTACAGCTATTGAAGGCTTCACGAACTTCATGGTCAAAATAGATGTTAAATAATGTGGGAGCCAGAGGATATCCCTGTCGCACCCCAAGGTGTACAGGGAATGGCTCTGACTCCTGGCCACGTAGTTTTACCCGGGCCCGCTCACCATAATGAAGGTCCTTAATGATCGTGAGCAGAGCGTCAGGGACTCCAAAAGCACGAAGAACAACCCAGAGCCCAGGCCTACTGATGGTATCATAGGCCTCGACCAGGTCAATAAAGCAGAGATATAGGTCTTGTTGGAATTTCCAACACCTCTGCTGTAGCAGACGGACAGAAAATATGGCATCTGTGCAGGACCTCCCTTTCCTGAAACCGCATTAGGGCTCCGCAAGCCTCTCCTCAGCATGCCTGGAAAGGCGATGTTGAACAATCCTTGCCAGGACCTTTCCCGGCACACTGAGGAGTGAGATGCCCCTGTAGTTGTTACAATCTGTGCGGTCCCCCTTCTTAAAGAGGGGGACCACCAGGGCATCCTTCCAATCCTGCCGAACCCATCCAGTGGTCCAGACTGTTGTTATGATGTCATATAGGGCAGTCTGTGCACAAACGCCATCCTCCTCAGCATTTCGATTGGGAGATCATCTCTGCCCGGTGCCTTTCGTGGTCTCAGACTCCGGATCACCTTCAGTGCTTCCTCAACAGATGGCACCTCAGCCAGCCACTCACAGGGGGTGACTTCCTCCAATATTTGAGGCACCACAGCCTCAGCAGGGTCATCCCTAGGACCTCACAGAAATGCTCAGCAAATCTGCAAACCTGTTCCTGGGGGTCGGAGATTGGATCACCGTTTTTTCCCCTAATGATGGTAATAGGTGTGGCGCTGCAGGTTACTTTTTTTATGGAGTTAAATAGAAATTTGTGATCGCGGGCCACTGAGGCAGACTCCATCTCCTCAGCAACCCGCGACCACCACCCATCCTTGCAGCGCCTCACGGCTCTCCGAACCTCCGAGCGAAGGCTGCGGTAAGCCTCCTCATTCTCTGACGTGGGATTCTGTAGCCGATGACAGTGGGCCTGTCGCTTTTTCTCAACTATCCTGAACACCTCCTCTGTCAGCCAGGGTCTCTGGGGAGGTCTGGACCGCGTACTCAAAGCAGCCATTGCAACTGCATGGTCAAGTCCCAAACCTCGCCCATTTACCCTCGACATCAGGAGGAGTCGGGGACGATGCAAACCCCAGCTGCAAGCGATGATGAAATTCTCACTTGCAACTTTCATAAGATAACTGAGAGCAGGCCACTTTAGGTTTGAATGGGGTCCTGGGTGTACACCCACCACCGGAGTGGAAGAATGGCAGGCGCATCTTACAGATGACTAGTCGATGGTCAGAGGGCAGATCAGCTCCATGGTAGGTCCTGGTGTCAAGGACTTGGGCTCACATCCGCTGGTCCGTCACTATGTAGTCCAGCAGATGTTCTTGCTTGGACCCGGCATGCATCCATGATGTTGTGTGGATGCGCCGATGCCGGAACAGCGTGTTGGTAATTTGCAAGCCCATGGGCTGCACAAAAATCTAGAAGCCTCCTACCGTTGTTATTGAGCTGATCTGGCCCATGCCCTCCAATCACTCCAGACCAGGTGCCAGCATCATGACCAACTCGGGCATTGAAGTCACCCAACAAGATGACTCTATCCCGAGGGGCCACTTTAGCCAGCATCTGTGACAGGAGGTCATAGAAGGCATCTGACTCATCGGCTTTGCCTGCATCCCTCCACGGATGTTCGTCTTCGGTGGGGGCATAAGTAACCACGAACTCCACTCCTCGCCTCCGGTTGATGGGAAGGCGAGCCCAAAGTAGCCTGGGGCTTACAGCTTCCCACACCTCACCTCCACGCTCCCACGCCCCCTTCATTATTTTGTTCAAAAGAAGAGCCACACCCTGTTGTTTGGCAGTCTGCTGCCCCGAGTAGAGGACTGTCCACCCCTCATGGTGGCAGGAGCTAGAACTGGTCCACCGTACCTCCTGAATGCCACAGAGATCCAGGCGGTACCGGTCCAGCTCCCGACAGAGGAGTGGCAGCCTCTCCTCCGCATTGATCGAACATTCCACGTGGCCACACGAAGTGGCTTTTCGTTGTTTCTGGAGGAGCCCCGAGGGTAGAGATTCAATCTCTTGGCTCCGCCAATTGGGGTTTGGCCAGGAGACGTCATAGACGCCTGTCCCACCGGGGCCTCCGGCACAAGCTTATTAGTTACAAATTTCAGTCATGGTTTAGTGGTACATTTTTGAAGGTGGAGGGGTTTCCAGTCCCTCGCACCCGTCCAGAACCCCCGTTTAGCCACTGTGGTGGTCACAGATGCCATGAGGGGAGGAGCCAATCGGAATTGGCCCTCTCCCCACAGCACTGTCCACGACAAAGTTGCCCATCTGGCACCGCGAGGAGGTAGGGGGTTGTTTTGCCACGAAACCACACACACGCACACACACACACGCGCACACGCACACACACGCTCGCGCACACACTAACAACAATATAGACAAAAATCCCCCGTATAGCCTTAACAGACTGTTGGGGCAAGCGCTGTTAGTGAGCACCTCTATGAAGGCCGGCAAGGCGCGCAAGGGCGTGGGTGTTCAGAACCACACCCGGCCGCCTTTGTCTCTCCAGTGGATATGTTTTTACACATCGGACCAGGTACTCATTTGAGGCTGAGTCGACCTAGGGGAGGCCCAGGACCTGGTTTAGATAATCGTCACCGGTGTTGGCCATGAGTGTAAATCGAACTCGGGTCTCCGCTACACTACCGCTTCCCACACACACATAGACACAACGACAAAGGTCACCTGTATAGCCTTTAACACACGTTTGGGACAAGTGCTGTTAGCAATCCTGTCAACCCCTTATCAGTGCCTACTTATTACAGATCAACTGAGACCTTACTGGTCACCCCGTGCCCCTTATAAATCTCAACGTTCGTCCTACAAAGTCCCATCACAAGGGAGAAACACAAACAAATAGACACAAACACTTGTTTTGTAA